AATCATTGTATACTGTAAATGTATATTACACTCATTGGTTAATAAAAGAACCGACTGGCCAATTGCTGGACAGGTAGAGGTTAGGAAGGACTTGCAGACAAAATAGAGCATGAAGAAGAAGGGCAGAGTCTCAGGAGTCAAGGAAACGAACTTGCTTTATTTGAAAATGGTACTGTCATATGACAGAGTATAGATAAGAAATATGGATTAATTTAAAATGTAAGAGCTAGTTAGTAACAAGCCTAAGCTATCTGCTGAGCATTTGTAATTAATAATAAGTCTCTGTGTGGTTATTTGGGAACTGGCTGGTGGGACAGAAAAGTCTACCTACAACTTTTCACCACCCTCCACTCCCACCCCCAGTGCTAGGATTTTAGGGGCACACTGCCACCTCTGGAATTTTGCAGAGATTCTGGAAATATAAATTCTGTACATCAGACTTTATACCAACTAAGCCACCTCCCTAGTATAAAACTTATCTTTTAGTTGATGGGTAATAATTGTGCATGTTTATAGAGTTCAATGTGACATCTCAGAATAATGCAGAATATATATTGACCAGATCAGAACAATTGGCATAGCCACTGTTATCATTTCCTTGTGCTGAGAAAGGATAGCACCTGCTTATTTATATAAAGCCCTCTCCACCAGCTTATTTTCCTTTTAATACAACAATCTCTTGACCCAAATTAAAGTCCTGCATATAATCCTATATTTTTCTATGTCTGCTCTTTTCTGAATTAAGAGTGGAAGACCCTTTGATCTTCCAAAGCATGTGGATACTTTCTTGGTACAACCTGAACTATAAATTGCCAAGGACATGGACACACACTTATATCCTGCATTTTTAGTGCCCACCTCAACCTTGGAAACAGACTTCTCTTTGTCCATTGCCCCTACTCTGGTCTCCTATCATGTAGTTCATGTCTCCAAAGTTCACCCTTATATAAAAGCATGTGTATCTTGCCACTCATAATCTAGAGCCCCTTCTTTCAAATGCTGTAGCTCCTTTTAGGCTAATGGCACCTACAGCCTCTTTTAATCAGCACCCAGAGAGATCTTCCTAACACGCCTGAGAAAACTGTCATACCTGAGTCCCTTTCAGACTTGAAGCAGACACCCCATCATGTCTGCCAAGCCCTGAGACTCTGACCTCCTATGGTCTTCCAATCTCCCTTTCTCTCCCTCCTCCCTGAAGTCCCATTGGCTCTTGTCTGTTTCTCAAATATGGGGACATCAGGCCCACAGTCAACTGGAACTCTCTTGCATTTCTTTCAGGTCTTTGCCTAAAGGTCATTCTCTCGCCAAAGCCTCTCTCTGATCATTCTACTTAGAGTTGCAAGCTAGCATCAGTTATACCGAACCCAGCTCTTTTCCACCCCTCTCCTGCATGCATTTCTTCATGGCAGCTGCATCTGTAGCATTCCTAACCCTGGGAACTTTTTATCTCTCCCAGTGAAATGTAATCTATACAGGGCAGAGAGTTGGTTTGTATTGTTAGAGTTTATCTGTAGCATCTGGAACCATGCCCATCACACATAAGGTGCTCAATAAATACAAACCATTACTCAGTACTTATGGGGGATGGGTTCCAGGACCCCTCAAACACCAAAAGCCACAGATATTGCCAGAAAGATGGCTTAGTAAGTAAAGGTGATTAATGATCTGAGTTCTGTCCTGGGGTTGGTCCCACATGGTGGAAGGAAAGAACCAATGACCACAAGCTGTCCTTTGACATCCCCAACATATACAACCATATGCTGTGGCAAGCACACACCAATACCCATACACATATACACACACATTAAAATAGACATAGATAAATATGTGTAACTGAAAAACATTTAATATAAGATTCTCAAATCCTTATTTAAAATAGCATAGCCTTCGCAATATAACCTATGCTCATGCTTGGGTTCACTTTAATTATTTCTAGATAACTTATAATGCTTGATATCATATAAGCCCTATGTTGATCCTTATACTAGACTGTCCAAAGGACCTTAACAAGACAAAGAAGTCTAAACATGTTCAGCATAGAAATAACTTTTTACGTATGGTGCTATCCTTAAGTAGAGAAGGAACTGTCTGTCTTTATTGAGTGGTTGATTATATTGTGGATCAGATGGCTAACGCTTTACCTGTGTCCCTTGCAGGGTGAATACCAGGTTTTGTTGGAACTGTACAATGAAAACCGTGCTACTGTGGCTTGTGCCAATGCTACTGTCATCTCCTCCTGACCATGATCTGCCAAAAAATGCACACCAAGCTCAGCCTCGGGGAAGCCCAAGGTCCCCAGACTCAGCTTTAAGAAGAATCACTGATGACCAATAGGGGCTGCACAAAGAAATTCCTCATGAGTCCCTCTGCCATTCTTAGCCCCAAGAACAGATGCTCCCAGCCCCCACAGATGTAATAATGCCTCTGAAATATGTTTCTGAGGACCCTAAGTAGTCTTGAGACCCCATTTGTAATGGCTCTCCTTATGTAATTACAGCTCATCAAACTTACCTCCTTGTCTGCTCCTTAGGAACACTCCCTTGCAGTTGCCCAGGATTTAAAAAGAATCTGACTGGCACCTGTTCAATGTGGCTTGTTCAAGGACTGTTAGTGCAGTTAAAGAGTTATTTTCTTCAGATACAAGTGTTGGTCACTGGTGCAGCTCAAGTAGCTCTCAGAAGGCCAAGAGGATGACGGCCTACCTAAAATCAGAGCTCTCAGGCAATGTGTCAGTGCTGCTCCTGGACCTTAAGACCAACACAGGGAGATACTGATGACACCCCGAAAGTGACGTCATTCCCCCACTTATTCACATACTCTTTACCTTCATCTTCTGTGTCTGTCAGCCCCCCATCTCTGCAGCAAATCCCTACAACTAACTTAGCAAAGGGAGAATGGATGTTGGGTTCACAGCTTTGGAAGTTTCTGCTGGTGGCTGTGGTCCTCATGCTTTAACCTGTGATAGAGTGTCACCTTACAGTAAGAGCATGTGACAGAGTAAAGGGGGACAGGATCCTACGATTCCCTTCAAGACAATAACTCCAGTTACCTGAAGACCTCCTACTAGGCCCCTTCTCTTCAAGGCTGCATCAGTTCTAAATAGCACCTCCCTAGGGACCAAGCTTTAACTCATTGACTTTCCAGGACAGTAAATACCCAAACTTAGCACTCCCAAAGCCTGGCTTTGCCTGTCCTCAGTGCACCTGGTACTTACTCTTGAATTCATTCATTCATTTGGGTGGTTACGTAAGGTTGAATTATTTACATATCAGGTACTATGATCTAAGAATACACTTAGAAACAAAAGACACTGTCCCTACCTCCTCAGAATTATCAGTCCCCTGAACTGCTTAGAAGCCATGTTGTGGGCCCATTCACTCATGTCACTCACACGTCCCTCCTTCAGTACCTCAGGAAGTGAGCCAGTTGACATCCGCTTCCAACCCCCCAGAAGCCACAGCTTTCCATTTCTCGAATGTGCAGATGGCTCACAGGCTCTGCAGCAGCTTCATTCTCATCTCCGCCCAGCCTCTCCCAGCAGGATCCCTGCGCCTCCCGCTACACAGTTATCGTAAAGGGGTTGACTTATCGTCTCCCCATTCTTAGCATGTATTATAGTGTCTTTGTGTCCGATTAGAAGAGGTAAAGTTTCCTAGTCAGAAGCATGTTGATTGTTTGAATTCCTGTAGGTACATACCGAAATCTCCGAGAATGACCAGCCAGTCAGTCAGCACTAAACCAACTGGGATGGCCTGCATGCACAGTAAGGCAGAGCTTTAGAAGTGATGTGGAAGTCTCCTGGGTTGAAAACAGACAAAACTGATAGCAGTGTCCTGTGTGGTCCATAATGCTCCCAAGAAAAACACAGCTATGCCAGGCCTAGGAGCAAGCCTCTAATTACACAACCATTCTTACCCTTCCATGCTCTCTCACTCCAGGCATTCTCAGTACATTCCTGTGACTGACTTTAAAAAAAAAAAAAAGCAAAAACATAAAACAACTCAGGAGACTGTGTGAACTCATTCACGCACCCCACCAGCTCAGGACAGCTGTCACAGCCTCCTAAAGGCATGAGCAGATCCCAGCCATTAGTTTCCCTTTGCCCTTCTTGAACCTGGCAGCTTCTGTGTGGTATGTGTGTGTGTGTGTGTGTGTGTGCACGCACACACACACACACACACACACACACACACGAATGCTTAAACACACATGCAAACATAATGCCAGAGACATAGACATGTATTCAGATTGTATATGTTTGGGACAAATGAGACAATCATTTATAGAGCTAATCCCTAGCATGGCTATGAGAATATACTCAGTTTCACAAAGAACATGATTTGTGAGAAAACGGTCCTCTGTCCCCACATATATATTTTCCTAATGCCTTATCCTAAGTCTTTCTTTTCACTGTGAGTTCCATTTTTGCAAGTTGAGAAAAAAAATCCCAGAATTTAGGAGTCTCTTACAAACTGCAGTTAGACCTTGTAGGAGAAATGGCCAGACTCACTGTGGTGGAAAACATCGATGTGTGCCGTGTAGTAGAAGACAGGAGGCGTCAAGAAGCAGGTCCCAGATAAGTGTAGCTTCCACTCCTCATCAAGAAGTCATCTTTCTGCAGCACACAGACTATGACAGAAAGCCACAGCTACTGCAGTGTCCCGCCCCACAGGACTGACAGTAGTGTCCCTCCCCACAGGACTGACTGACTGACTGACTGACTGCAGTGTCCCTCCCCACAGGACTGACTGACTGACAGTAGTGTCCCTCCCCACAGGACTGACTGACTGACTGACTGACTGCAGTGTCCCTCCCCACAGGACTGACTGACTGACTGACTGACTGCAGTGTCCCTCCCCACAGTACTGACTGACTGACTGACTGACTGACTGACTGACTGACTGACAGTAGTGTCCCTCCCCACAGGACTGACTGACTGACTGACTGACTGACTGACTGACTGACTGACTGACTGCAGTGTCCCTCCCCACAGGACTGACTGACTGACTGACTGACTGACTGACTGACTGACTGACTGCAGTGTCCCTCCCCACAGGACTGACTGACTGACAGTAGTGTCCCTCCCCACAGACTGACTGACAGTAGTGTCCCTCCCCAACTGATGATGTCAGGTATGAAAACCGCTGAGGTGGCCACCAGGTTCTCCTGCACCCCTCAGTCCCTGCCAGTTACAGAGTATAGCTGGTACATCCTAACTTCTCCAGCCCAGGGGCTAGGCTGCCCTTTCCCCAGACGCCCTTCCCTATATAATCCAGCCATTTTGGTTACCCACCCTCACTTTTAGTCTCTTGGTCTGTCTCTCCCCCCTCCCCTCTCCTCCCTCCCCCCTCCCCTCTCCCCTCCCCCCTCTCCCCACATGGCAGGCTCAGTCTGGTTAAGTTCACTCTGGACTCTCCCAAATGTGCCTGCCTCTGACCATACTCTCCCTTCTATCTGCAGTAAACTTTCCCCTCCACCATGCCTAGGAGCAATCAGGTCCTTTCCTTGTTTTAATTTCTTTTTTTCCCCGTTTCCCCCATTTATTTGGTGCTGAAATCCAGGACCAGTCGGCCAGCTGTGTCCTTTTCTTTTTCATTTCTCCTCTCATTAAGACACATATACTACACAGCCCCTGCACCTGAGGCACAGGGAACATTGCCGAGCACGGGGCAGAAAGCCTGTAAGAGCCATAGGACCAGGAAGCCTGCGGCGAGATTGTTTTCTGGATATGACAGAAAAGATACGCCCGTGAAATGTCACCATCACGGCCGTTTAATAAAGACCCAGTCAACGACGACGCCAGTTGACGTGCTAACAGTGATGGAGGAATTCTCCTGGGACCCTGGATAAAAAGCTGCAAGCAATTAAAGTCTGCTGAGAGAAAAGATAAAATTAATCTTCCCCAGGGACGATGCTCCTAAATGGTTATGCAATCCCAAGGGTCAGTCATAGAAACATATACAAGCAGGCAAAACTAAATAGTCTTGGCAGGTGGCATTTTTATATTAATTTGCATATATATGTAACAATACAATAGCAATTACATCACTAATTGAAGAGAAAGAGGCCATGAATTTGAGGAGGAAAAGACACGGAGAAGTTGGAGGCTGGGAGGGGGGCGGGTAGTACAATTGTATTTTAATTAAACAAAGAAGTTTCTTTTTAAGTGGGTACCCAGAGCCAGAAATCTAGGTGATGTGGTAAGGAAGGGCAGAGGGCAGGAAAGGGATCCAGATTGCCTATCAAATAATTCAAGTTCATTTCTCTCCTCCTAAAAAGACTTTGTTACTGTTTCTCGCAATCACCATGGAAAACTCCAGGAGCCTGTCCAACCTCTGAGGTGAAAAAGAAAACCGGTTTGGAAAGGATGACACTGTTCACCACAATCAAAGGCCTCTTCGGGAACCTCCAGCCACCGCTGTAGTCCCTGCGGGCCCTTCTTTATATTCTGAGGGAGATTTCAACCTCTCTGCATGGACTACTATTGAAGCATCTGTAAAGGGAGTTCAGAGTCCTGGGGAAGCTATAAGGCACTGGTCTGGGTACAACGCCAGCAGTCTGTTGGGACAGTGTGAGCCTCTTCCAGGAACAGTAACTCACTTGTCTAAAATGTAGAAGGGGGACCTGGCTGTCCCCTGTGACTTCTGACGCCCCGGAGACTTGGCTGTTAGTCGGGTTTTCCGTAGTCAGCCCTTCGCTTGCTTCTCTTCCGTGCTTCCCTTCAAGCCTGCCCGAACACGGGCCGCTTCCTCAGGCGGGGTCTCCTTTCAACAAAGGCTCAGAAGGGCTGAGTTGCCTTGCAGACTGTTCTTTGCTCTGATTGGACTGGCTTGTGTCACATGACTATTCAGGCCAATCAGTTGGAACCGGCACTGGTTGGCTCACGTGCCCCAGGACTTGTTCCTGAATCACAGCTAGTTCACGTGGAAACCACAGCTACGCATAAGACCTGTCCCGGGGATTAGAAGTATTGAAGGGAGGCGTAAAAAGATGTTAGAAGGTAGGAACACGTGGGAGATTGCATGGATGTCTCTTCCTCCGCTACCCATCGGGCGATGATCTGTGTCTTCACACTAAGTTTCCACCTGTACGTCTGACGTGTAGCCACGATAAATGCATGACCTGTAAAGACGGGATGAGGGTAAAATGAACGGACACATGCTGGTCACGTTCTGTCGCTGAGAACAATGGTGAGGAAAGGCTCCTTTGCTTCACAGTGGGGGGGGGGATGGATTCAGCCCACAGTCACGTGGTCCCGTTGCTCTGGTTCCTGTGGTGACTCATGGCAGCTGGGAACCAGAAGAAAAGCAGGAAGGGACCAGATCCCTATATTCCTCGATGGAAAGCCTCAGCGGCCCGCCTTTCCCCCACTAGGCTCCACTGCCTTCCAACAACGTTCTTGGGCGTTTGGGAGATATCTAAGATTCAAAGGATGGTGCGTGTACTCCTTAGAACGGAGCTTAGAACGCCAGTCAACATCATTATTGTGTCCGGATGGGTACTCCCCAGTGGAGGTAATGCCTCATGTCCAACTATCACCTTCCTTATCTTACGCCACCAAATAATGGTAAATTGTAATCAGATTTTCTTTGAACCACCAGCTCCCAAATAATGACAGGGAGACTTCTTAATAAGTATGAAAGCTTGGCCTTAGCTTAGGCTTGTTCCCAACTAGCTCTTAAAATATAAATTAACCCACTTTTATTAATCTGTGCGCTGCCACCCGACATATTACCTCTCCTCAGTAGTGAACATCCATCTTCCTCCACATCTCGCTGATGAATCCCTGGCCTCTCAGATCCTCCCCACAGTAGTTCCTCTCTCTCTCTCTCTCTCTCTCTCTCTCTCTCTCTCTCTCTCTCTCTCTCTCTCTCTCTCTCTCTCTCCCTCCCTCCCTCCCTCCCTCCCTCCTCCCTCCCTCCCTCCCTCCCTCCCTCCCTGGAAATCCTGCCTATCCTCTCCTGCCTAGCTATTGGCCATCCAGTTCTTTATTAAGCCAATCAGAACGTACCTTAGGGGGCCTGGGAAGACAGAAACACATCTTCAGACAGTGTGATCAAATAGCACACAACAGTAAAAGGCTGCCCCTCTTGTACTGTGTTAGCCATATTTCAGGAACTGTGCCTTTCCTGTTGTTTTCTGTTGCTATAACAAAACACAGACTCAAAGCACCTTGGGAAAGAACGGGTTTATTGGTTTACACTTCCAGATTACAGTCCATCATTGAGGGAAGTCATCAGAGACCACATGAGCGCTCCTTACACCATTGCTTTGTCATCCAGCCCAGGACCACCTGCCCAGGGGGGGCACTGCCCAGTGTGTTGGGCCCACCTTCACCAATGAGTAATTTAAAAAGTCCCCACAGACTTGCTTACAGGCCGATCCTCTACGGTAGAGGCATTTTCTCTTAAGGTTCTCTCCCCAGATAATTCTAGCTTATGTCAAACTGACAAAAAAAAACTGCCCAGCACAACTAACCCCTTGTCAGCTTGACACACACATGTATCACTATTTTATCTAGACATGTTATAACTAGCTTTCTTAGACCAACGGTGGTGGCATGTTTCATGGGTCACAGGCTGGGTCAGTGAGCTCTCCAAAATCTTTAAAGAAAATGCTTTTCCCCCCGAAAGATAAATTGAAGTTTCCCCCAAAATGGAAATATCATAACCAGACCAAAAGGATCTTTGGAAGAAAGTGTGTATGTGTGTTTTAATTCAATTTGTTCCCTGCAAATAAAGACACACCTTGAAGAACAAAATGTAGCAACTGCCAGTTTAACAATTACTTACCAGCCAGAGATAGCTGCTGAGAGGTGGCAAAGGTTTTTAGCCTCATTATAACACCAACTGCCTGTCATCTGGGTGGCTATGGCTCAGATGTAAACTAACTGGATGCTCCCCAGTCAGCAAGGCCAGTGCCTCTGTCTACCCTATCCATCACTGCATCAGGCAGGCAGGGCATTATGGGAGTTGCAAATAAGTTATTTTTCCCTCTAGTCTACATGTAGCTGCAGTTGCTCAGTTTGGAACTGAAAGAAGCCTTCCACCACTTTCAAATGTATCTATGTAACATTTTGCTCCTCCCTAATGTAGTTTTCCCTTAATATGTGCTTTGGTTTGGTGCATACATGTCCCCCAAAAACCCATGTGTTAAAGCCCTGGACCCAAGGTCCTTTTATGCTGTTAATGCTGTTGAGACATATGGCGGCAACTTGAAGAAACAAAGCCTTCCAAGGGGCCTTTGGGTCATTGGGGAGTGTCTTGAGGGACTGTATGCTCTGAGCTTCTTTCTCCCTTCTGCTTCCCAGCTGATGGCACCAGTAGATTGACTTTATCATGCACTCCCACCATAACGTGCTGCTCTCCAAAGGCCCAAAGCATCCATCATGGGCTAGACCTCCAAAAGTGAGTCCACAGTAACCTTTTTTTTTTATAACCTGGTTGACTGGATGACAAATGAGTAAGTTCTTTGCTTCAATATCTTGATCTTTTTGTTCTTAAGGAAAAAGATTTAAATATCAACCCAGACTTGTGTATTTGGATACATGATCTCCAGATGATAAGGCTGTTTGGGAGTCTGTGAAATTTTTAAGAAGTGGGGCATACCTGGAGGAATTGGGTCACTGGTAGGTGAGCCTTGAGGTTATAGCCTGCCCCTACTTTTTGTCTTATTTTTTTCTCCCTGGTCTACCCAGATGTGAGCAAGCAGCCTCATACTTCTGCAGCCATCAGAGCCACTCCAGCTACCGTATCTTCCCACTATAAGAGACTGACAGCAAACCTTGGTGTTGAAAGAGACCAACAGTGTCACATGTTACAGCTTATTAACAGGCAAAAACAGTGCACTACACTCCCAAGACAGAGTGAAGCACTGCTGTGGGTTCTGGTGCCATCCTGTCACATTACTGCCATGGCTTCCTCATTCCCAAGCGGCATGGGAAACTGTAACCAAGCCACCAGTTATGCTTCTTCTGTGAGTTGCTGCCAATTCATCCACTTACCAAGAGAATACACAACCCACCCTTTATTTGGGTCACAAACTGCTCAATACAACTCCACTCCTTGGGCCAAACTGCCCTTCAAAATTGGCAGTGGAGCAGTGACAGATTTCCTGCAACACCTTGGGCCTTCCCAGCAGACTCAGAGGATGCTAAGATGCATGCATCGTTCCGTGGGGACACACTGATGGGTGAGTAATGCCTGTTCCATGAACCTTGGGGTGAGGACAACACAAAGAAGAGAAGGGGTAATCCAGACCTGAGCATGGGTGTCATATTGCTCCTTATAAGGACACTGGCAATAAGACTTGATCAAGGAGCTTCAAGACCTTGAACAACTATGTAAATAGAGGCTTCTTTCCTACCTACCAGTTCCCAAATAAACACTCAGAGGCTTAATATCAATCATAATTGTTTGGCCAATGGCTCAGGAATATTACTGACTAGCTCTTACAATTAAATTAATCCATTTTTACTAATCTGTGTATTACCATGTGGCTGTGGCTTATCGGTAATATTCTGACATCTTATTTACAGAGAGACTCAGCTACATGGCATCTCTCTGACTCCTCCTTCTTTCTCTCCTAATCTCTATTTGGATTTCCAGCCTAGCAATATTCTGCCTTGCCACAAGCCAAAATAGGTTTATCTATCAACCAATAAAGGCAACACATATTCGCAGCACACGGGGCAACCCACATCGCAATCGCATGGGGAAGAGGATACTAAAGGGCAGATTAAGAAAGAGTCATGATCACAATGACAAGAGGCTCCTAGGAATAGCAAAGGTAGAAAGTAAAGAGTGCCTAAAGACATTCCATGGCACACAAGTGGGTCAGCAACAGTTAACAGGGTGCCCTCGTTCAAGAATCCTCACAGCAACCACAGACTACAAGCACATCTGAAATTCTGGCATCCTTGGTGAACAGGATTTCCATCCCCTCTTGGATCCCCAGCAGAATGAGGATCCCATTTCCTCCCCCATGTGCTCCACTCCCCGCATCAGCTCCTCCTACTCTCCCCTACTGCCATCTGGTAGTCCACTTGAAACGCCCCACGCTGTCGCCATGGTGCTGTGCTTCCCTCTGCTCTAAGACAGACAAACTCCTGTTACTGAGTCCCTTCTTCCTCCTTATGACATTAGGCCTCAGACCCTAAAATTTGTGCTACTCTAAGCCAAATCACACACCAGGTCCTATAGTCTGTCCACTTACCTCATTCCAAATCCAATCTATGAGGTAGAAGAAGAAAATGCAAACTTGGAATAATTTATCAAGTAGTTGATTTTAAGAATATGACATGGATGGAATTTGACAGTCTATTTTTTTATTTTTATTTTATGTGCATTGGTGTAAGGGTGTTAGATCTCCTGGAACTGGAGTTATAGACAGCTGTGAGCTGCCGTGTGGGTGCTGGGAATTAAACCCAGGGTCTAGGACATCCAAGGCACACAGAGAAACCCTATCTCAAACAATGATAGTCAAAAATAATAGGGCCAGTGACAGAACCTCTACATTTGTGTCACTTAGGATAGAATGCAAACAAAATATTTACCAGATAGTGTGTACCACACAGAGAGACAAAACACAGCTAACTTTATATGCAACGTCTCTCTGGCTTCCTCAAGTAGCAGCCCTAGGGATGGTACCATAGTTCGACAGAAATGAGGCATGGGTCTCTGTTGTGAGATATTTGATTCCACTGTGTAAAGATATGTCACTGTTTAATAAAAAATTAAAAGGTCAAAAGCTAAGCAGGAGGTATAGCCAGAACTTCTGGACAAAGAAAGCTCTGGGAAGAAGAAGGGCAAAATTACCAACCCAATCCAAAGGGGCAAGATGTGCAAGACAAGAGGTAAAAACCATGTGACAGCATATAGATGAAGAGAAATGGGTTAACCTAAGTTATAAGAACTAACAGGACAAGTCTTGGCTATAGGCTGAATCTTCATAATTAACGATAAGTCTTTGTGTTGTGATTTGGGGGCTGACAGTTCAACAAAGACTGCCACAGGTCTCTGCTTGCCTTCTGTGGAAAGCAAGGTAGCCAAACCCAGGTACCTTTGTGTCTGAAGAATGCCTTCATGATCTTTCCATTCTCTACCCTCAGCTGTTCAGACAGCATATCATGAATGTGGTAGGAGTGTCCAGGGGACAGAGTTTGGGTCC